CATCATCTTGCTCTCTTGAGAAATCTAGGGCCTTCTGAGAAGTCAAAAGCTCTAGCAACACAACCCCGTAACTATAAACGTCGCTTTTATCAGTTAACTGGTAGTTGCGGTAATACTCAGGATCCACATAGCCTAATGTTCCCTGAGCACAGGTTGATACATGACTAAGCCCTGGGTTAGCCAATCTGGAGAGCCCGAAGTCTGCAACCTTGGCGTTAAATTCATCATCTAGCAGTATGTTTGTGGACTTCACATCTCTATGGTAAATGGGAGTATGTGCGGCAGAATGAAGATAAGCCAATGCTTCAGCAGTTTGAAAAGCAACCTTCAGCCTTGTTTTCCAGTCTAGGAAGTTGGAATACCTACCATGAAGATGGTCATGGAGTGTCCCGTTTGAAATGAACTCATAGATCATCAGAGGCTGCTCAGACTCTACACAGCAACCTAGGAGCCTGACTAGGTTCTTGTGATTGACTTGAGAAAGAATTGCAACCTCGTTTAGTATCTGCTGAATGCTTTTGAGGTTGCCCAATCTAGCTTGCTTCACAGCCACAGCTGTCCCATCTTGGAGTTCACCTCTGTAAACTTCCCCAAACCCACCTTTTCCCAAAATACTGTCTTGAGAAAATCTGTTTGTTATTTTTATCACCTCCTTCAGTTTAAACATCCTAGCAGGTGTCTCTCCAGAATTTGACTTTATCACATCTTCTATAGTCTTGGCCTGCTTTGACCCGTGAGAGAGCTTCCTGGACCTCCTTAAGATAATGGCCATAACTGTGGCTAGGCAAAAAAATGTTATGACCACAAACGAGACTGTTAAGCTGATTTGTGATTTAGACTTTTTCTTGTTCTTAAAGCAAGTTGCAGCAATAGGGTCCCAATGGTGTTTGCCCTTACAAAGACAGCGAAAGACTCCATTTTTTTCAGCAGGTGAGCAGATAGAAGCCCCAGAGCAATCTTCTTGTGTCCTGCAGAGAGGTTCAGTAGGAGAAGCCCACTGAATTTCAAGACCTTCCTCCCACTGATAAGCAGGCTTTTCTGCATCTAAATGAAGGATGCTTCTGAATGCTTTACAGCCAGAGCTGTGAAGGCGTATCTTGTATGCTGAAGGCATCCCCCCTGCAACAAAGGTGCAACAAGGGCCAAGACCGCTAGCACACTGAGTAGCTCTTCTACCATCAACATGTCCTGAGCTCTCCAAGTAACGGTGACAAAGACTCGAAGAAGTGCAATTGAGAGGAGAAACTAACAGGCGCGGGGAGCAGTTGAAGAGGAAGATTGTGTTGGATGAAGTTATTTTGAAAGGAAGTGACTGGTTTAACCAGAGGCCACCACTTGCAGGCATATCTTGAGTAACACATGAACTAGAAAGCCAAGGTGATGGCTGCACCACCAAGCGCTGAATCGAAGGCATGGTTCTGAGAACGGAATAGGAACTGCCATTGAGGGTGAAAAAGTAGAGTTTTCTTGATTTGGGATCACAGTGAAGGCTATAGGATGGATCCCCACAGCTAGGGTCCGTGCTTAAAGGGTATGGAATTTGTAAGGAGCCACAGTTCGGGCAAGTCTTTTGAGAAGTACAATGATTACTGAGGTAAAAGAAAAGGAGGAGGACATGGCTAAATCGGAAACGTGAGCTTATGTTTATTTTTGGTTCAGTGATCATTCTGCATGAACAAGGGGATGACTGATTGATCACACGTTACAGATGGGAAGGACGACGGATGAATAAGAAGGGCTACTACGTTGGAATAAAGTGAGCGCAATGAAAATCAAAAAGTTGGCTAAAGAATCTATATGGAATACCATGAAATTTTGGCGACTTATGGGGACCAGTTGATACCCTTCAGAATGATGAGAGGTTTCTAGCTGTTTTCTCTGTATCGGGAATGTTCATTGAGAAAAGGCTTCAACACTCGCTACTTCGTTTTTGCGAGGTTCATTCTTTCTTTATTTAATCTAATCGAGTAGCATATGATTAAAGTGGAGAAACTTCCCATTAAGGCATAATAAAATGCTGCCACAGCTTATGGCCCTCGCACTTCGAAGTCAATTTGCAAGAGACAATATTTTCTCATTTACTGTTCTAGATATAGGAACGTCACGCCATAAACACAAGCAAAGGTTCCATGTAGACAGGACAAAGGCCAACCTACACCATCGAGAAGGATGGCAGCAATGGTGAGGCGAGCAAGCATCATAAAAATTCATGCTGGGCCACCATATGAGGACATAGTAAGTTCACTGTTTTTCTCTTCTCACTGTTCTGAAATATTTTAGCATGCTTTGCATGTCAAACCAGGTTGTGAACATCTATGTTCATTGCAATTTTTGTTCTTGTTTTGTTCTTCTTTAACCAAGTTTCAAAATGATCACAGTAAACAAGGTCATTGATGTTTTGATTGTGTGCATACATGTTTATTGCAGTCCCTGTCAGAACAAGACATCAGCTTATCGTCATGCTTAAGTAGTAATACTTCCAACCCCCCCCCCCCTTTTCTCTGTAAAACCTAGCAAGGAAAAGGAAAAGGAAAAGAGGGGCTGGGTGGAGGGGTAAAAGAATAATTCAAGCGTTTATGTGGTCCTAGAGTGCATAATCACTTTGGAGTAATGAATTCAGTGTGCCAGCTTGCCGTTACTATCAATGGAAAGCCTTTTCCCCTCCCAAATAATCCGGAAAAATGGAAAGACTTTGGTGATCCCCATAATTGCGTATCCCGCTCTGACACACAGGTTTATTGTATATATATGTGCATTGTAGTGACCAATGAAGTTGCTTTTGACTTATCCCACTCCTTTAAAGTGATCTTTTTTTTTTTTTTTATATGGTTCCCCCCACGAGGCTAATCCATCGCCTATCAAGGTTATACCATCATAATTCTTATTCCTATTCTGGCCCCTCATGTATTGCGACTATCTTCTAGAGAAAAAGAAGACTTGTTTTGAAATTTTAAAATTTTGACATATTGCAACATTATATTGCAAAGAATCTAAATGTTAAGGCAATGCTTTTTTTTTTTTTAATACAAGGCTATGGAAAAACTGTGCAAAAAAGATTAAGGTCTAATCATATTTAAAGCCATAAAGTTTAAATAATCGGGAGGCAGGTTGTCAAAAATAAAAATATCAAAATCACTGTAGGATGTTTTGTATATAAAAAGATCGGTTTATTTGTTTGCTTCCCTATAGATATGGTCAAAGCTAACTTTTCAATCTCATGATGAGCTTTTAATGTTCTTGATAATTAAATAAAATAGATATGTGCGCCTACTAGTTTTTACTTAAGTTAAAAAGGGCACAAAATTTCATAAATGAGGCTCATATATACTCTTTTAAGATGAGTAATATGATCATCAAAAGCAAAATAAGCTATTTTCAGTATGGCTATTGACATATAGAGCTTTGTTCACATGCTATTTATGTATTATTATTATGTTTGAAACAATCTTATTCGAAATGCAGTCAAATATTAAATATGAACATTCTTTTTAATAGGGATTCAAACCTTTATTCATTATTTTATGAAAGACTAATCTTTTTGTTATATCTAATTCTCATTGGTTGTGTATTGGTATTGTTATTAGTAGTATGAGTAATATGCAGTTATATGATATATGGCTGCTTGTGTGTGTGAATCAGAAGACACATAAGGGAGGGCAATTACGCCTTGGTATCATGAGCGGAGTTGTGCACCAAATCCACAATTTATACGGATTAATGATTAAGAACATCAATATGATGCTTTAGAAAGATAATGGGGAACCCTTCACGAGGGGGAGCTGGAGTAGGAGTTCATGGATTGAGCTAATCCTAATCATGACCTTTTAGAGATGCATTCCTAGTATAATAAAGTTAAATTTCCTTTTCAGTCTATCTAGTGCAACAATTCTTCCAATCTCAGATCCACTTGTAATTTTGATGAGTTTATTCTATCACCCAAAAAAAAGAAAGAAAGCATCCAATTCCATCTCTCTATTTTCCCCCCACCCACGACCCAACCAAATCCCCACTTAGAATTTCGCTCCTTTCTAGTGGGCTACACTTACTATTGTCACTATTTTCCATATTAATATGATGCCTTTGAAGCTTCAACTCTGCCACATATGAATGAATATTTAACATTAACATATAGTTTCTTACTCAATAGTCAATGACCTTCATTCAAAATTTTAAACATCCAAATATAGAGAGCGCAGTTCGGCCATGAAAGGAGAAAAAAATTATGGCTAGGGCCAGACTATAAGAGCCCCACAACAACTTTCTCAAAACACGTCTCATTAGTCATTACTATTCCTCACCCCATCTCCGATCCTAATGATGCATTGGTGTTGGACAAAATCCTTTATATTTGGCTTTTCACTTTATTTTCCCCGCAACAGCTAAGTGAAAGCTTTGAGAATGGCTTGATGCTTGTTTTCACTTTAAGAGACGGTCTCAATACTGACAACTAGTCTCTATACAATGCCTATCAATAGCATGAATTTCCTTAAGGCTTGACACTTGTTAAAAGATTGTCATGCGCTTGTAGTCGCGTGGATAATCATCATAGCCACTAATTTCTGCACATCATCAAAATGTGTAATATAAGTAGCGCTACCTCTTACGTGTCTTTTAGATATCCCATGATGCGGGATGGGGAAATTTTCAGCTTTCACTAATGTTGCATCTCAGGATGAAACAAGCAACAGCAACATTAGAATGTTGGTGTCTAATGCCACTCACACAAACACATCACACGCATTCACAACTCTGCACAACTTTCAAAGGGTGGTTCCATCTAAATTAAGGTGGCCCCGCAAACTATATAAATGTGGACGATCGCGAAAGTGCAAGTTTTATGTCCGGAAATTCCACGTTCGGTGATAATTTTTTTCATAGCTTCGAAGGACGTTTTGCCCTACATAGACAAAATAATATGAAGCACCCTCTTTACTTGAAGACAACATGAAAGGGCTCTCAATAAAAGGAGCAGAAGTCAGAACAGAGGAGGAGGTAGTAGTAGTAGTAATAAATTAACAGATATTTATGGCTGTTCAGATTCAGACAGAAGAGCCGCTTCTGATATCTGCCACCCCGCTAATACCAGTCCTCAGACCGATCGGGATGATCAGCTTACTAGAGCATGGTTTACACAGTTTCGCCCTTTTTGTTGCCTTCATTCTTTTCCAGAAGAGAAACCTGAAAATTTTCAGGTTAATTTACGCCCTCTAGACATAATCGGCCAAATTATATATCTTTTGACATTTAAATTGCCGAGCCAACATGGCCTTACTCATAGTAATAGCATAGCAAAGCTTAGCCTTCAACTATCTTTACCGCAGTCCTGCACAATACATGACCGATAGTATGAACTAGGCAAGTTATTATAATAGTAATAATAAACAAATTTCTATTTCGAGCACTGTTACTTACCCAAATGGGCTTTGTTTGATGGAAGCAGCTCAACATCTAACTGCAGTTTGGAGAAAGTCGCAAATAGTAAAAATGAATATTACAAATAAGATAAGAACGTATAGAAAGTAACGTAGAACTACACTAAGAGAACCTTACCGATTATTGATTAATGTGTAGAAACTACTAAGCAGCAACATGAACAAATCTATAATCAGAAGATAGTTTTAGCTACGCTAGTAACACGGATGGTTTGCCCTTTAAATTAGCGCGAGTATATTTGGAGCTTGGATCATGGAACAGGCGAACTGACCTTTCCAACTACACTAGATTCCTTAGGGACACATTCTCCAGAGTGTAAACTTTGGGAATTCAGTGGCAGTAATGAAATTGTATGGACAGCGAAGGAGTTTCTTAAAAGGCATACATCATTCAAGTTGTACAGCTGTAGTAGTTGATATTAGTGAATATAATTACCATAGACACTGTGATCAGTAGTAATAATCATTATACTATTTTACTATCATCCTTTGGATAGAAACCATAGCAACTGATCGAACAAGTTACCTCTATTGTTGCGTTTGGAGGGATCTCCTGGACTCCTCTACTTCCATAGGCCAGTTCAGGAGGAACAATTAACAACCTCTGCAGAAAACTCAGCTAATTAACTGCTCTCCTTTTATTCTAATATGTTAATATGTTAATATGGTGTTGCAGACCGAATATAAGTGAATCTGAATTTTCCACCTATCTTCCAAAAACTTCTATATAAAGGTTTAGGGGCTAGAAATTTAGAGAGAAATAAAAATTTGTTGTTTATATAAATAGTTATTGACAATAGAAGCCTATGAAGCCAAAGGAAATATTCCCCAATATGTATAACTCAGACTTTGGGAAAAATACTATACAGATGCCCACTAGTCAACACAAACTACCAAGTACTAACAAGTGCTCCAATGAAGCTTCCTGCCTTGACACACACAGTTTTACAGATTGTCTGGCTTTTAATAGCATATTCGTACAGCTTAGCAAAGAACTCTGGTATTATGGTCTGTCATTACCTGGCCGCCTACTCGCATTCCTTGCACCCCTAAATCTAACCCCTTAAGGACAGTTCCATTCTCAGATTGGCCTACATCAAATCCATATGGCTGCAACAATTTAAGAATCTTAATCAATAAGTAAACTTTCCGTGCAAAAAATATAACATATACGTACATCATGACTATCCAGAAAGTACTGCTGCTGCAGTAACCGAAAAAACACAATGCTAGCCTTGATGAGGATCATGTATAAAGCGGTGCAAAATTTCTGGAGTTTGATCATACCGTTCCTCCTCCAACACCCATTCCTTGTCTGCTAGTCATGAAGGTAATATTCTTCCATTTAGCAACATAGTGAACCTACAAAATGATATTTTGAATATATCTGGGTGAAACATAATCAGCTAATAAAGAGAAACCAAAATGATGTAGAACTAGAACCAAAACCAGAACAAATGGATGAATATTGAAAAACAAACTATTCACATTGATCAAATTCATCATCAAGAATGAAATTCCTATGACAGACCATGTCTATTAAAAGTGATCCAAACAGACATATTTCCAAATACACATATTCAATATAAATTACTAAATTAATCATAAATACTAACATTTCCATTCTGTATTACAAAAAAGGATTGAAGCCATGAAGAAGCTGACGATATTCATATATGTAGACGCATGTGTCAAACACAGGACAAATAAAAGAGCATATTATTATGTATTAAATCTTCTGAAGGAAATGAATCAGGTCCACGGCTCCCTCATTTTCACAATCAAATGCATCAATACTGAAAAATCAACCAATCATATATCACTTCTTT